GCATTTTCCTAGTAGGGCGATCTTCTGGGCAACTTGTATGTTGATGTTATTTGGGACACGGTTAGTAAAATTGTCCATTCCTTTTCTTACGTGGTCCAGAGCTCCGATTACTATTGGTACAATCTCAGTCTTCATTCCTTACATCCTGTTATTCTCCAGGTCCTTGTATTTGAACAATTTCTCCATAATTTTTATGGAGGTGTTTCTCTCAGATGGTACTGTTATGTCAATAAGCGTACACTTCCTGAATTTCTTGTCTTTTATGATAATATCAGTTCTTTTGGCTTTTATTTCCCTGACAGTTTGAATTGGCATGTCCCAGAGGATAGCTACATCGTTATTTTGGGGAACTGTGTCTGGTTGGTGCTCATACCATCTCTCAGTGGTTTCGATTTTGTGCTTCGTGCATATCTTCCTGTGCACATATGTCGCTACCTTGCTATGTCTGTGGGTATATTCATTTTTTGAGAGTCCCGGATATCCTGAGATAATATGGTCGACAGTTTCATCATATTTTTCTGCAGATCCTGCATTTTGGATTAATTCCATCCTTGATTATGGGACAGTGATAGGATCTGGTTGTTAAGCTTTGGTCCTAGGCTGCAATAATTAGGCCTTCTGTTTCACCTTTCAACCCGGTGCTCCTCAGCCACTGATGTGTTTTAATTTGGTCCACATCTGCTTCTTTCGTGTTTTTTTTTTTTAGGCATTTGCCAAGCAACGCCTTGTCCTGCCATTTTTTTAAATTTCATTTGGCCAAGTTATTTTACTTCCTGTTTTACTAGTTTGGAGTAAATGGTATTCCCTTCGCTTTTTGTTGGTAGGGTTTCAGGTATATTGAACTGTTTCTTGAAGAGTACAGCTTATTTGTTGATGGAGTGGATTTGGTGTTTTACTATTTGTAAGAGAAGGTCACTGGTTTTTGTGACCTATGCTTCCAATCCATTTGGTGTAGTTTTTAGACTTAGTTCAAGTTGTATTAGACTTCGGTCTAATAAAGCCATTGGTACGTACAGCCTATCAACATATGATTCCAGATGGTGCATTCTCATTTGGGTAAGCATATTTCTGGTCTTGTCCAATCTTTTAATGTCATTCAACTTCCATTTAATAATGTCGAAACTGTATGTTACTACAAGTATAGCTACGTGTTGACAGCCTTCATTTTATTGGCTTCATTAAGATCGTTTTCTAGTATCAAACGCACTCTCCTATAATATTCTTTTCGGATCTTTTTCTTCATAATAGAATGTTGTATTCCGTCTCTTTTATTAATTTCTAAGTATTTGTATGTACCATCTTGGCATTGTTCCTGAATCTCGTTGATATTAAGGTCTAAATCTATAGGTTTCGTTAGTTTACCGCCTTTGAAGGTGGTTTTGGCACATTTGTCGATTCCGAACCCATTCCTAATGTCTTCGATGAAGGTTTTGACAATGGTGAGTAAGTTTTATTTTTCTGCTGGTTGTCACCCTTGGCAAACGTTTTAAGATCATCAATATAGAATAGGTGATTCAGTTTGTTGTTCTGTGAGTTGTATCCGTAGCTACTGTTGTTCAGTAGGTAGCTGACGAAAGGCAAAAAAAATGTTGTCACAATGAATCTCCTTGGAGAATCCCACTTTTGATTTTGCTTGGTCTCGATTTTAATGACCCGTTTGTATGGTTTAAATTTAGTGTAGTCTTCCAGGTTTTAATTCTCTTGAATTTGAGTGTTGTGGGGGAATACTCCGTATATTTTTAAGTTCTTCTATACCCATGGATGTGGTACACTGTTGAAAGTCTTTCTGTAGTCGATACATGCTATCGATAAGTTTGCTATCATTGTTTTCACCTCTTCCAATATTGTTTTATTGATAATTAATTGGTTCTTGCATCACTAACTTCCTCTTTTACATCCCTTCTGTTATATTGGGAGTAAATTGTTTTTCCCAAGGAAGTTGTATGTCCTCTTCGTTATAATAGAAGTGAAGATGTTGTATATTGTTGGTAGGCAAGTGATAGGCCTATAGTTTTGGAGATTCTGCGTCTCTTCTGTTTTAGTGAGTAGGCATGTTACTTCCCAGGTGTGCCATGTGGGCATTTTTCTGGGTTTATGACTATATCATTGTATGCCAGTGCGAAGTCTTGCTGGGTGCTAGATAGTTTTGTTTTATCCAAAAATTGGCTATTAGGTCTATTTCTGGTGCTTTCCAGTTTATGGTTTTGCAGATAGCAGCAGCTATTCCAGTAATATTGATATCTGTCCATTTTTGGCACTCTGTGTGTTGTTCCTGTTGTTGATCTATGTATGTCTTTCATTGTCCCTTTTGTTGTTTTACCATATTCTGCATCAGAACTCCTGGATATTAGGTGGGTCTGTATTTTATTTTTTTATAGTTCTCGATATAATTTATTGGCGTCTTTTAGAAGATTTTATTTTGCTAGAAGAATCTGTTTCTTTTTCCATACTGCCTGATTCTCTGTGTCTTCGCTGGAATTTGTTTCAGCTTCTCTTTAACTTTTGGTACGTCAGTCTTCTTCTTTATGTCAACGATTCGTTTTATTTGTCTCCTTTTTCTTTCTTTCATTTTGGAGACTTTGTCTACTTCACTTGAAAG